TGCAAACTGGACAGAGTGGCGTTTATGGAAGAAGTCTGGACCGTGGTTCAAAGCTATGGGACCCAGTCTATTCTAAAAACGGGTCTCAACCAACCCTTGATGAGAGAAGTGCTTGACAAGCTTGATGAGTGTGAAGGGAGACTGAGTGGGTTGTTGATCGACTCAGCCACTGATGAGAGTGAAGCGAATTCTCCCATCAAGATGACACCGCAGGACGATGAAGGAGAGGTGGTGTATCTGTCAAGAACCAGGAGAGGGACGATGCAATCAAAAATGGTGATTGATAAAATCAATGCAATGAAAATGAAGTTAGGCAGCAGAGTGATGCCGAGGAGAGTTGGAAAGACGAAAGTGGATTCAGAAATATCGATGAAAGCTGGTAACTCAGCGAAAAGGAAACGAGTTGAGGAGGTCATGGATTTGGGGTAAGGTGATCATCAATTGTCTGGCACAGATAGAATGTTAACTGATATAGCGATGGTGCCACCCATTCTCATGGCGGGGATAAAGTCAACCGGTTATAAATCCAAAAGGAGTGACCGCACTCTGACTGGAGCAACCTTAGAAATGGAAATACTCAGCCAATGTGGAGAGAGCAAAATGAAAGACTTCAAGCCATCTCCCATGAATCATGGAAAGGGAAGTGTCGCAGGACAACTAACACCAGTGGAATACAACCGACTGACAGTGTCGGAGACTGTGTCGATAGATGAACCCACCGGTGGATACATGGAGATGTTAGAATACCGAAACTCGGCTAGAGGGTATGTAATGGCCCTGGAAGACGAAAAAGCCATGGAGGGTTATCTGGAAACGATGCTGCAAGGCACCACCCTCAAGCAGAAGGCGTACGGGACTTTGGCGTCGTCTGACATACAGGCGGAAACGATCAAGCAGTTAGTGAGCCTTCCATGGAAAGCAGTAGTATTGAGGTATTTCGAAGAAGAAATGAGGACTACGCCAAGAATACATGCTCTCGTGGCAGTACCTTACGTAAGAACAGAGTTACAACTCAGGTTCGCCTGGTGCATGATGGGACTGACTCGCGAAGAATATGACTCAGAAGAAAGGAAGAGATCAAAAGAGGAAAAGGTTTTCCTTATGACGAACCTGAGGGATCTGATAGTCCAGGAGGGAGCAGCAGTAGCGTGTGCGAAGCGGAGAGACGCTCTCTGTTTCATTCGATTCCTGATAGAGCAGATTTCAGTACCTACATTAAACACTTGTGTTAAAGTGTTGAGGGAAGGCGATGAGCGAACGAAAGCCTTATTCTTGCTAGCACTGCTGGATTTGCAGCAAAGTAAACCGATGAGGGTGAACATGAAAGAACCTGAGGAGTTGGAACCCATGAAAAAGATAGACGAAATCAGGAGATTCTCAAACAAGGAGCTGAGACTCACTAAAGAATCTATGGGAGCATTGCCGAAATCCAGTGAATACTGTGGACCGATCAAGAAGAAATCTTATGGCTACGTATCCGGGATCATAGGGATCGCGTACAATCCTTTTCTGAGTGAAGACATACGCGATTGCTTCTTCGATTATGAGCAGGCGGTGTTGCTAAGATTCTGGACGTCCAGAATTGTAACGATTAAGAGCGTTAACAATCCACAGGCCAAACTGGGACTGGTCTTGGAAGAAGAGGTGACTGCACCTTCAGTACCAAAATCCGACAAAAGAGTGGAGTTTGGGTTGGGATTCTCAGATGAATTACTAAGAACGAGCTTGATGACAGTGTGGGAATTGATGAGGCCATCATGGTGCCCTAGTCCCAACGCTGACTCAATATTGCGAGCGACACAAGACGTGCAGAGGGAATTGAATGCAGACTGCAACCTGCGTGACCTCAACATCATATATAATGTGATGATAACGGCCTCTAGGAGCAACGGAGAAGATAAAGTGGAGTTGCCTGGCTGGGGACCAGAAGACTGGTCAAACCTGGTAGCTGTCTGGCGGAAGTCGGTGGACTGGAGGGTCACGTTTGTGGAGGTCTGGACTGTGTGAAGACCCTGGAGAGACAACACAAGCAATTGACGGTATTGTTTGGAAACGTCGTGATGAAAGCAAGAACAGAAACGGAACTGATAGCAGATTGCCATGGAGGAACCGAGGTGAATCTAGTGACTGCACTAGGATTCTACAGCATGTTTGGTTCTCTAGAGTCACTATTGAATCTAGAACAGAAACATGAGATGGTCACAGCCATCAGTGTAGAAGTATTCCCAGGAGTTCTGCAGACTGAGCAGAAATACATAGGAAAATGGAGGGAAGCAATCGAGACGGAAATGAACATCAGACACAGTGAGACTTATTGTAGACCATCAGGAGCACAATATTCGGTGGGTTCGACATTGGCTCCAATGTGTAAGAGCAGATACCCTGTACATTTTGTGGCTGTGGACGTAAAGAGTACGAGAACGATCGTGGATCAAGCCTTCTCAGTGCCGAAGTGTGTGAGACTGGCGAGAATGTCCGAGAAGTCTTACGAGTTGCTATGAAAGATGTTCTCAGCAGTTCCAGAGAGAACCAAGGAAGAATTGGAACCAATACTAGGAAAGAAGTTCATGGGATATGTGAGCGGGAACTTCAGTGACATTGAGAGACAGAAACAGAGAGGATCAACTGTCACAGATTACAATGCAGTAGATGAGAATGATGAGGTCCACCGAGTGATGATGGAAGTGGAACCATTACTGGAAGCTTCGGGAAAACGTAATTGGAGGAGCATCATGTTGACGCATGACGAGTTTCCTTGCCACTGCTTGCTGCAGACCTGGTGGTATCCCAAGCGTAGTAATCTGATGTTGATCTGGGACTCTGGAGAGCTGCTCTCCATGGGTTTACCAGATTCATCACAGCCCGTAACAATAGTGATAGTGGGATTTATGATGGCGATACGATGGCTGGAAGCTCATGTGAGAGAAAATAACAGACAGGAGGCACCGACGAGAGAACAATTGCGGAAATTAGATTGTCTAAAAGATTTAGATCTTTTTGAGACAATGTGCAAAGTTCTAAACATTCCGATGGAAGTGAAGAAGATATGGGCAAGAAAACGATTGATGCCATGGTTCAGAGCTAACATGACTGCATGGTTGTACGAGTATGCGAAAAAGCATATGTCGAAGCATGGCAGAGTGTACAATGAGTATCAGCTGGACATTGGAGCAGGGGCTTTCAAGCGAGCTCTCGTGACTCATCGGAATGCAGTGACCACCGCTGTGAAAAGAATTTCCAGGACGAGTGAACGTAGTGGAAAGGAGAAAGCAGAGATGCTGAAAGAAGATTTGGAGAGAAACGTGACGTTGTGTCTCCACAACAGCTTCGGCAGGAACAGAGAATCTAACGTGGATCTCCTACCTTGCTGCAAACAGAGGGTAGAAGAGCAGAAGTGTTGGAGGACGGCTTCCAGCAGCGTCAGGATAGCTAACGACGTGTTACAAGATACAAAAACTGAGAGTGCAGAGTCAGTATCACAGGAGGAAGAAATGGAACATTGACGGATGACCGAAAAACAAGATGAAAAAAGAGATGAAATTAGAAGAATTTAGAAGTTTTAGAACTTCTAAACGACGAAAAAAGAAGAAAACAAAGGAGTGATGAAGAAAAGTTAAAACTCAGAATTGTTTTATGTGTGTGAAAAACTCAAGTGAGAAACCAAGCAACCAAGTTGTAATTGAAAACTGAAACATTAAGTTGAGTTTTGAAATTGTTGCATTTATAAATTTGCATTTTGATTTTAGTTGAAGTGGCTTTAGAGACACTCACTTACTATTTATTTAGGAAGGCTTAAGTGAAGGAGTATATTTAAATATTCCAGCCTGCATGACTGTTTTTAACCAGCTAGGAGAACTGATCACTTTGTGGTGACATGGAAGGCTTGAGTAATCTCTCGAAGAGGGAGATTGTTTCATTGTTCTTTCTAACCACAGAGTTTCTTAGTTTTAATATTCAGGACAATAACAAGCAAGATTTCCGAAGGGAAGAAGCATAGTAGGATAATTTTAGCTTGTTGGTTGACAGGACTGTCCTGCAAGCCAACACCTTTTAAATCTAAGAGAAAAAGTTTTAATCGGGACATTGACACTGGAAGTCAGAAAATATGTTTTTATCTTAGGTCATATCCTCAATGTGCAGATTAATGAAAGAATTTGAAGGCTATAGTGATGTAGTATGATGCCATTTATATTCTGCAGTGAGTCTATGTGACGTGGATAAAAGTAATTTCGTGCATTTTGTAAATTCTGTTCGATGACACTGTATCTATTTTACGAACATTGCGTGATTCAATGAGGACATTGACCGGACTGTCCGGGGAGTATGTGACATTCGACCAGAATGTGAAAAATGCAATCTCTGCAGAATTCGAATTTTTAGCAGCGAGCCTTCCGGATTGGTGATTATTAAGAATTAAGAACGTTATTGGAACGATTGGCCAAACGGTGAGGGCTAGAATATTCTGGTATTTTAAAATTTTAAAAATTCGAATTATGACGCCATTTTTCTGAGAAACGTCAGAAACGGCCATTTTGGCAGAAAAGCTAGAAGACAACACAACAACATTAGTTGCGCGGACGATAAGTACAAAAATTGTGAGAAAAAACAATAGCAGATTGCAGGAATAGCAGTGAACACTCCGAGTTGCAACTATTTTGTCGCTACAATAGTTGCCAGGCCGTTGCAGACAACGGTGAAGGGTGGAGGACAGCCTTCCGGATTAAGAAGAAATCAAGATTAGCGAGCTTGATTCAGTGGATTCAAGAATCCGGAAGGGTTTCGGGACTGAAATTTTTAGACTGTTATATAGACTTTTAGTTTCTTGTCATGTCCTGATTTGAATTTAATTAACATCTCGATTCATTTTGATAAGGATGAGAAGCTAGGAGTTGGGGGAAAAGGTTGATCCATCTTCGATGGAGATGATGATTTTTATCTACTGAACAAAAACAATAGTAATATAATAAATAGTAGTGGCCCTGTTTTTAGGAGTGACCTCGTGGTCTGGGGATACTGAGACCCAGCCATGAGCTCACTATTTCTGCATGTAATCTAGTTAATTTGGGTGTTTTGACCGAAGCCGAAAGCAGTAACGTTTTTGTCGACCCGATGTTGGAAAAGACCACCGAAAAGTACTGGCTTGGTAGAGACGGTGAAAAGCATGCAAAGCTCTGTTTAGACGTTAGCCAGTCGTTTTAAGACTTAGTTTTGTTTTCCGTCGATATGTATCTTCCGGGCGAATGTTACAAGGTTCATATTTTTTGAGTCAGAAACTATCATTTATACTGCAAGGGAGAGGCTCAATGCTAAAACGTCTCTTTGTACATACCACAAACCTTTGCATTTAAAATATACCTTAATAACTGCCAATTTTAATTTTCTTTCATAGTTTTGCTATATATTTGCGGAGGATTGATTTGCTCATATAACCTCCTCAGGGCTACTTCAACAGCTTCCTTGAGTGGGACCTAAGTGTACGAACTCTTTACATCAAGGGAAATTATACTCTCATCAGCGTCCAATTCTGTTTTCTCAAGGAAAAATACTGCCAAATTTAGTATTTTTTTTTATAGTTTTGCTATATATTTGCGGAGGATTGATTTGCTCATATAACCTCCTCAGGGCTACTTCAACAGCTTCCTTGAATGGGACCTAAGTGTACGAACTCTTTGCATCAAGGGAAATTATACTCTCATCTGCGTCCAATTCTGTTTTCTCCAAGATCTTGGCCATTTGAGTGTTCGTTTCTATGTTTGCCCCTCATTTTTATCAAAGTATCTTGCCATTGTTTAACTTAGGTAGTCATATGAGCTACCAGGTAAAGAAAGGACGGGACGAAGTGGTGTGCCTTGTTTGTGCACTTTTGCTAATCCATACAGCATAGCCGGCTGCGCACCCGTTGATCTTAACCGTAATCAGGCACGCGAACAGTTAAGATCATATTCAAGTCATATCCACGCTTCTTAATACGTCCGTCTGCCACAAAAGTTTATACACATATTGCAAACATATAATTGGTTGTTTTTTTTTAAATTATTTTATATCAAACGTCCTAGGTTATTTTTATGAGCGATGATCTCATCTAGATTTCAATTTTTTTATGTACTAAGAAGCGAAAACGTTCGTAATTAAAGCGTTACTCATTTGCTCCAGGATAGATTGTGTTGTATACTAAATGGCTGAGTGCCTTGATCTGTTGAAAGATGATGGGCTGGCTGGTTTTGAATCAAATTTGTTTGACAATGCAGTGGATTGGTCGGGCCATGAAAACAACAAAGATGAACAACAACTCGAAATACAAATTTTGGAGTCCATGTTTCCAAAAGAGCTTGAAGTTATTTCATCGAGCGAAGAACACGGTTGCCGAAACACGTTACAACTGGCGGTTCATGTTAATATCATATCTAAGCCTATATTGATCGAGCTATGGGCTTCTGGCAACGATGGGGTTGATTGTTCAGTCGTAGATGCCGTTGCAAAGAATCGAACTGAAACTGAAAGGCCTGTTTTCAATCGAACGATTTCTGGTAACCGCCTGTATACTTCAATGTTTGTTAATAATCTTACACCGGTCATCCTAACATTGGTACTTCCCGAAACATATCCTGTGGAAGCATGTCCCGTTTTCTCATTGTCTTGCCAGTGGCTTTCTTCGACACAGTTGTCAGCTGTCGCTACGAAACTAGAAAGTTTATACACTGAAAATCAAGGAGAGCAGATTTTGTACATATGGGCGAACTGGATTCAAAATGATTTGCTTAACAGTCTGTCTCTTCAAAGCGTTTTAATTATTGACGAATTGGAAACTGTTTTAGATCCGAGAATCTCTATAGATGATACAGATTCATTTGCGAGATTCGCCGAGGTTGTAACTTACGACTTCTCTTTGACTGAAAAACAGTTTTTGACCGAACTACAAACGTGTTTAGTGTGCTACAAGGAAGACTCAGGCTCAAAATTCATAAGGCTCATTCCATGCCTTCATCATTATTGCTTTGATTGTATTACCGAATTTTGTACCATGCATGTACAAGACGGGACGATTGGTAAGTGTGTCTGAAAGAACAGGTTTTATAATATAACATGCAGTTTGACGACTTTCTTCGCTTTGGCTAGGTCAATTAAGATGTCCTGACGATGACTGCAAAAATTCAATAAGTCCAGATGTGCTGAATAGAGTTCTAGGGGATGATCATTACGCCCGTTGGGAGCGTCTCATGGTGCAAAGATCACTAGAAGAAATGGGAGACATTGCTTGGTGTCCCAGGTGCTCTAATCCAGTAGTCAAAGTAAGATATCGAGCTACTAGAAAATTGATAGAAAACATGTACCTTTGTCAATAACTTTAATGTAGGTAAGAATAGCTTATGGCTGAGGTTTTTAGAATTAATCTCATGATTGTCATCGTTCTTGTTTTTTTTTTCAACATTTGCAACAAAAACATTGAAAAATGGCTTTCTGAAAATGAGATGACACCAAATGCAAAGAAGTCTCATCTTGTAAACATTGAAGGAGCACTAAAAGCCAATCTCATGGGCAGTCCTCTGGAGCCAGTTGGATCCCAACGTGACCTAGGGTTCATTGTACATCAAAAACTGACTGGGCTGAAAATTGTCAGATACGTTCCAAAAAGGCAATGAATGCGCACTTTCAAATCTATATTTATTATTTATTTAAATACGGGCTTCACTATCTCGCCGCCATGCTTAAGCTTTTTCAACATATTATTTTTACATGGTTAAGCTAAATCGTATATTGCAATGGTTAAGATTTTTTTTGAATTTTCGAATTTAAATTTAGTGTTTATTTCATCAAGTTTGAAATTAGCAACTCAATAGTGGGATGCTGTCAGGGTTCTCGCAGCTTTTGTGATTCTGGCTTCATATATGAATAACCAATCCTTTTAGTTTACGAGATACGGTAATTTTCGAGATTTTTCATAAATTTCTACAAAATTTAATTTAAAAAAGTTTCTCAGTTTTTTAAATTCTCACCCTATAGTTGGGCGTTGTCAGGGTGCTCTCAGGAATTGCGAATCTTGCCTCGAAATCTCTTTTCTCAAATCTTTAGTTTTTGAAATAAGACGTTTTGTTGTGACTTTTTCCAAAAAAACTTAGATTTTAAAAAATTCGAAAACTTTGAAGATCTCAATCCTGTTGTTGGAAACTGTGAGGGTGCTATCAGGGGTTCCTCTGAATATGGCTGCTCAAATCCTTGTACTTTTCGAGATATGACGTTTTCGTGGACTTTTAAAAAAAATTTCCAGAGAACTTAGATATAAAAAATTTCACATAATTTGAAAGTCTCATCTCTATATTGTAGTTTTCCAGATATGACGTTTTTAGTGATTTTTCACAAAAATTCCCGAAAACTTTAGTTAAAACATTTTTTTCAAAGTTTGCATTTCCTAAAATGATTGGAGGCTGTCAGAGTAATCTCAGGGGTTTCTAAGGCCTCCCAATCTTATTTTACTAGATACGACAATGTTTTCTGTGATTTTATCAGTAATTTTCAGAAAACTCAAGTTACAGAATAAGTCACAAAATTGAAATTCCCAACCCTGTACTTGTATGCTGTCAGAGTACTTTCAACAATTGCAAATATTGCCTACAAAGAAAACTGTCACAATTTTTGGTAGTTTTCCAGATGTGACGTTTTATCTGGTTCTCAAAAAATATCTTTTAAAAAACTTAGATTTAATTTTTTTTTAAATTTGAAGCTCCCAACGTTAGTTGAGTACTGTAAGTGTACTCTCAGGAGTTGCTAATCATGCGTTCAAATGCGACTGCACAATTGCTTTTGGTTTCCGAGATTTGACGTTTCTTAGTTTATTTTAAATTTTGTCATAGAATTTTTATAATATTTCACAAAATTTTATGGTTTTTCAAAATTTGTTGTAATAAAACTTGAATAAAAAGCTTGGCAAATTTTGTAATAACGAACCCTGTAATTGTGTGCTGTTAGAGTTCACTCAAAGGATGCAGATTTCATTTCCAATATATGCGGTTCTATATGAGCTGTTAAAAATTCGAAGCAACGGAGGTGCGTCACACGCTAGTATTATTTAATTGAGCTAGATATTTCCAGCCATGTTTTAGAGTTCCCTATGTTGACTTGCTTAAGAATTTTACGTTATCTACATGTTTCAGCTTGAGTCTATATTAACATAGCTCTGCTGTGTATATATGTTTAAGCCTTTTTTGCTAACATGCCAATTTTAAGCATCTACGAATCTTTTTATCCATCTTTTTTTATCTATCTGTTTACCCATCTTGTTTATCTATCTTTTCATCTATCATTTTTTTCTTACTGCTTTAACTTTTTTTTAATCTAAATTTTATCTACCTTTTTATCTAAACTTTTGTCTATCTTTTTTCTGTCATTTGTAGCTATTTTTTTATCTATCTTTTTTTTCTGTCTGTTTATCAATCTTTTTTTCTATTTTTAATCTATCATTTGTAGCTAGCTTTTTCATCTAACTTTTTTAATATCTTTTTATCCATCTTGTTTCTCTATCTTTTCATCTATCTTTTTTTCTGTCTTTCTCATCTATTTGTTTATCTATTTTTTTCTGACTTTTTATATCTTTTTAACCTATCTGTTTATCTTTTAAATCTATCTTTCGATCATCATTTTTGTCTTTCTTCTTATCTGTCATTTGTATCTATCCTTTTATCTATCTTCCGTCCATCATTTTTCTCTATCTTTTTTCTCCATCTGCATAACTATCTTTTTTATTTATCTTTTTTCCTTTCTTTTTTTAATGCTTTTTATCTATCTTTTTTATCCTACTTTTTATAAATCTTTTTTATCTATCTGTTTATCTATCACATTATCTATCTCTTTTTTGATCTATCTGTTTATCTATCTGTTTATCTGTCTTTTTACCTATCTTTTTTATCTACCTGTTTATCTATTATTTGTATCTTTCTTTTTTATCCAACTTTTTTTAATCTATCTGTTTATCTATCTTTTTTCTCTCTTGTTGTCTTTTTTATCTATCTTTTTCATCTTACTTTTTATACATCTTTTTATCAATCTCTTTATCTATTATTTGTATCTTTCGTTTTTATCAAACTTTTTTTATCTATCTGTTGATCTCTTTTTTATCCATCTTTTTTTCTCTTTTCTTCTCTTTTTTATCTATCTTTTTCATCTTACTTTTATTATATCTTTTTATCAATCTGTTTATCTATCATTTGTATCTTTCTTTTTTATCTAACTTTTTATATATCTTTTTATCCATCTTGTTTATCTATCTTTTCTTCTATCTTTTTTGTCTATCTTTTTTATCTATCTGTTTTATCTTTTATTTTTTTCTGACTTTCATATCTTTTTTTTTCTATCCGTTAATCTATTATTTGTATCTTTCGTTTTTATCTAATTTTTTTTATCTATCTTTTTATCCATCCTTTGATCTATCTCTTTTCTCTTTTTTTTATCTAACTTTGTCATCTTACTTTTTATACATCTTTCTATCAATCTGTTTATTATTACATTATTCATCTTTTTTATCTATTCTGTTTATCTATTATTTGTATCTTTCGTTTTTATCTGATTTTCTTCTATCTGTTTATCTATCTTTTCATCTATTTTTTTCTGTTTTTCTCATCTCTTGGTTTATCTATTTTTTAAAATATATCTTTCGATCATCATTTTTGTCTTTCTTCTTATCTATCATTTGTATCCATCTTTTTATCTATCTTTCGTCCATCATTTTAGTCTATCTTTTTTATCCACCTGCTTATCTATCTTTTTTTATTTATCTTTTTTCCTTTTTTAATGCTTTTTATCTATCTTTTTTATCCTACTTTTTATAAATCTTTTTTATCTATCTGTTTATCTATCACATTATATATCTTTTTTTATCTATCTGTTTGTCTATCTTTTTTTACCTGTTTTTTTATCTATCATTTTTTTCTTACTTCTTTAAATCTTTTTTAATCTAAATTTTATCTACCTTTTTATCTAAACCTTAATCTATCTTTTTTTTGTCATTTGTATCTGTTTTTTTATCTATCTGTTTATCTATCATTTGTATCTATCTTTTTTATCTAAATTTTTTTATATATTTTTATCCATCTTGTTTATCTATCTTTTCATCTATCTTCTTTGTCTATCTTTTTATCTATCTGTTCATCTATCTTTATTTCTTTCTTACTTTTTCATATCTTTTTTTTTCTATCCGTTAATCTATTATTTGTATCTTTCGTTTTTATCTAACTTTTTTTATCTATCTGTTTTTTTTAGCTAGATGATTACCGTGACCTTGGCAAAAGCAGCATTAGAAAATGTTGGTTGAGCAGTAGTTTTCGGCGAGGTTTGTTCAACAGTGCTGTGGGAAGGTGTAGCTTTGACAGGACTGTATGTGACAATTGTGAGGCTGCTATGCTCCAGTTTAGAGATCTCCTTCTTCCTCACTGGTGACGTTTTTGGGGTCGATCATCGAATTTACTTCTGTAACTCAGGTAGTTTTGGTAACTTGTAAATCTGTTATTTTTTCGTCGGAGATTATTTTTACTCTGGCGTTTGGTCTTAGTGTGTTCTCGGTCTGGCTTTTTATGATTCTTCTTCCTTGAAGTGTTTCCTTTCAACTACTCATAGCTGTTTACGTCTGGCCATGTCTAGTTTTATGTTTGCCTGTCTAATTCGGGCAGCTTGACGTGAGCGTGATATTTGAAGGCCACATTTCCCAAAAATATCGTTGGAAATTTTGTCGCGTATAATTTAAGGAGCTAATCTTTTTTTCTACTGGAGCTGACTGGCTTTCTTGGAGCTGTGACCCTGTTGTCTGTCTTTATTGCTAAATCAGGTTTTCTTAAAATTTTTGTATTTTAAAGCGTTATTGTGTGATCTAATTGTCTTGCGGTTTCATCAATGAGTTTTTATACAAGGGCTGCAAGCATTTAAGATTTTCCAATATCTTCACTGGAGAGCCGTTACTAGTGGGGATGTATCTCGCGAGATATAGGTCTTCGTGCGACCATGTTTCAGACTCATCCAACTCCGCGTCCTCGATGTGGTATGGGGCGTCTTAATCGTCGCTTCTGCCACGATTAAGACGCCCCATATAAACTTCTTTCCTTAATCTAAGCATGGCATAATCCGCTTTCAATTCAAGTTTCAATTCGATGGAGGTTAAACTGTATTGTGCCAAACGTTATTTTCATTCCTGACGAAGTGAGCTTCGAAGGAGGAGCTGTTCAAAGACTGCTGCTTAGCAGTTCGTAAGCCTTTTAGGACTTCTAGCATAGCTACTTCTAAAGATGACTTTGTTTTTTTTCCAGGCCATCACCAAAAATTTTTGTTTTATCATTATTAGTAGGCGTTCAAGTAAGTCCGTGCTTCTATGGTCCCCAACAGGACTAAAGATAAAATTGATTTTGTACTCTTAGCAGAACTCTGTTATTTCTGTGGCTATAAATCCTGACCCTGGTCCGTTCTGATATTTATAGGGATGGCGTGCAGAGCTATATAATTTTGTAAAATTTTATGATTGTTCTTGCCGATGTATTAGAGGTAATTTGAGATGACGTAATTTTTGAAAGGCGATCATCGCTTAGTGCGATCGCCTATTTTCTGGTTCATCACACAATTGGCAACGGACCCGTAAAAGCGAGTTCCCTATCCTCATTAGGCTCTACTGCCGGTAGTACTTTTCCATTTTTTCATAGGTGTTAGCGGTTTTAACTTACCGGCTTCACACACTCGATACGATTATCTGCGAAAACCTGGATTTCACGTTAAATGTTAGGCCACCACACGTATTGGAGCGCTAAGCTTTTCATTGCAAATTTTCAGGGATCACTAGTCGTTCATCGAAGTAGAGACATGCGGCGTTCTCGTTTAGGTTGCAGTTTAACTTTTGTAAAAATTACCCAATTGGAGGATATCGTTTTTCCGATTTTCAATAAGACTTTTTTTCGGTTAAAAGCAGCATATACCGAGTGTTGAATATTTCAGGCCATTTGAAAAAGTTTCGGACGTACTAGGATCCGTCCTATAGCTAAAATATTCGATGAAAAATTATTTGTTCTGCAATCTGGAGAGCAGAGTTCTGTGCGGCAGCGTGAATTTTGACAGACATGTAGCTTTGCTCGGTCGTTTATAGTTAGCTGTTCAGCTGCTTATTTAAATAGTTCTCGTTTATTTTTTGGTGTTTTTGTTTTCACGGTTTCGACCAATCACGTTGCAGCATTCTTTCACACTCTGATTTATCCGAATTGAACTGATCTCCATAAGTAATGGGTGCAGAGTTTCTCATGGCTTTGTCAAAGCCTAGCAGAAACTGAAAAGTTCTTTCGAGCAACGCCTAATTTCGTGCATTGATTAAGCAGCTGAACAGCTGCAAACTCTTTTCGATCGTGAAGACAAAAACACAAAATAAGTACACATTAAAATAAAAATTAAACGAGAACAACTCATTGATTAAGCAGCGATTTTTTTAAACTATTTTCTGCTGATGCTATCAGAAAGTTTCCACCATCTTTTAGAAATGGTATGGGGTTAATGCCTAGGCTGACATGATAGATAATCTACAATGCCCCTATCCTACCCTGACATATGTGCGACGGAAAAGTTATATGGAATTAGTTTATTTCCGATGGATAATGCTCCTATCCTACCCTGGCTTTTGTTCGACCGAAAATTTATATGGAACTAATTTTCATAGCTTAATGTTCGTCTCACAGTGCTACAATTAATAATTTTTGGTCTGTTGAAATTTAAATTTTGATCCCATAGGTAGTTTTCGAATTCTGTGTTTAAACGGTACGATCCTGTGACGTCTCTGCTCGCTAAGTTAAAATTGGGTTGGTTGCCAGCCTTTCAGGCAAGTGGAATCTAACTATAGGCGATTTTAAGATCTATTGATGAGAAAAAAACAGAACTTGTGCATTTCCACTGATTGTTAGAGCTGCCTTACGTTTCCCTTCATTTTTATCAATTTTTGTAGATTTGTTTGTTGAGCATTTTTGAAGTAAGTGCTAATCATACTGGCCCGTCCCGCCCGTTTGAAGTTAAACCGATAGGGCTAATAAAAGAATTTTCAGAGCAGTTTAAGTGGCCTTTGTCTTTCAGCAGTTGTTCAGCGCATGGTTTCATTTTGGGAATCACGTGTATAAATATTCAATTTAGCCTAACTTCTATCGGTCTTAGTGGCTCTAAACAACGTGTGTTTACTCTAAAATTGTTTGATATACCCATCTTGAGGTAAACATTCGAAGTCTCCTGGGAATGATTTTTCTTAACTCTTTTTGTGGTTTTTCGATCGTTGGGCAGTGTAGCTCGTCAGATTCGAATTGTCTCGGGTACTGTTTGGCAGTTTTGTCGACTTCGATCTGACAACTTTCACTGCGCTGTTTTGCTATTGGAGTAACAAGTTGTGACACTTCGATTCTCAAGTTTGTAAAATATCGTTTCCCACGAGTTTTCTCTCTGTTCTCTCAGTTAAGAATAATTTCTGATTATTTGCTTTATAACTGTTTGATCTTAACTTGAGGGCAACTCTTCCGATTCCATTAAAGGTGCTTCCAAAAATTTGATACGCCCTTCTAGTAGTTTGATTTACCGGCTCTGTTTTTGAAAATTGGCCTCGGATTATTATATCATGTAATAGATCCTTTTTCATGAGAGAGACCGGACTTGCTGAGTCGATTTGGATTTTGATCTGAAAAGGAATATTGTAGCCCAAGGTCGCTTCTAAATTTTTAGTAATTTCTTGACTTTCGTGCCAGAATAGAGTCCTTAAAACGTTTTCGACTTTGTCTCGTGTTTTATTAGTTATTCGGGTTTTTCATCAATTGCTAGAATTCTAAAGTCTCTTAAATAACGACGAATTGGGATTATGTAGGGAATATTGTTGTTGGTTCTTAGTATCGTTATCTGGGCTTGTGATCTCCTTCCACTCCGATTTTTTGCGAATTGTCCCTTGCGTCAGCAATTATTACACGATCTTTTTTTCTGGCAGGACATACTATGAGATGGACTTTATTCATTAATTGACCGCAGTTCTGTCATTTCAGCTTCTCTATTGTCTCTGTATTGTGTGGAGTATTTTTGTGCAAAAAATTGATTGATTAAAGAATTGATTTAGTTTGGCTGGCAGAAGGTCAAATTTTTAAAACCGAAAATTTACATTTATGTTATTTTAAACATTTTTATTGCATTTTTTTTCTAATTTTTGGCGCAATGAGCGGCTTAGAGCGACTGTTTTTGGCTCAATGAACATATTGTCGGCTTAGTGGCCGCTCTTTAAAAGTTAAAGGCTTATTTAATGCTGTTTGTTGTGTTTCTTGACTAATTGTAGGATTTTTTTCCGATTTTTTTTTCGATTTTATTTACGTCTCTTTTTTATTTGCTAGCTGACAATGCTGTGCTTGCGTTGTATCGCAAGTGATGCGATGCTCCGATCCGCCTCGTTGTTTGTATTTTGTGCTTGTATATTGACGGTACATGTAAGATCTTGCAATGTGAAATTGTCTTGGCGAGGCCGGAACTTTTCGGTTAATGCTCAGGTTATTGAGTGGCGGCTTATATACCTAATATTTTATTCGTATCATTGGTTGTGACAATATGCTTTGAATGCTCAAAATCAAAAGCTCCGACACTTTTTGAGTTTTAAGCTTGTATTTTTTTACCCCTTAACATATTTGTTGCGTTTTTTAGTATCAATTTTGAGCAGCGGAAACTTAATTCAGGTTTTTGTCTTAATGCTCCAAAAGTTTGTTAGTTCAGAAAAAAATGAACTTGGTGTCAGTTTTTTTGGCTGCATGGGTTCTGTTTGGTTTTTTTCTTCGTTTGTTTTGATTTTCTTCCTAATTTGTTTAGTCTCTAGCAAGTTAGTGTCATAATTTGGGTATTCGAGATGTTTTATTGGTTCATTTTTGAAATATCGCTAAAATTTTTTCAGAAAAAATCCGAATTTCTCGAAAAACATTGTTTTTCAGTTTTGACCTGACAACTTTTTTGTGTACAGAGGCATTTGGCGAGTTTAAATTTTGTGTGTTTGCACTAAACAAGCGCTATCAAATCGGAGCATAGGCTTGAACCACCGAATCTTTTGGCATCTTTTTCTATAATAAGTTCAAATTAAATGACTATTTTGGCCTTCAGCCAAGATAACTTCATGCAAGGCAACTCGGACTCGAACAACAGGCCTTTGTATTCCCATGCAAGGTAACTCCCATGCGTAGGAAGACCAAGGGCTGCTGCCGAGTCCGAGTGAAATTTGTATTGTTTTGGGTACTGCTGTGAGTTTCTGCTCTGAAAATTTATTAATTGCTATCCTGTATCTGTTTTTTTTTGTCGGCTTAATTTCTGGAGCACGCAGTTCTCTTCAAATTGATTTTTACTATTTAAGAATTCCATAATATGCATTTGCAATGGTGCAGATTTATGCATTCCGAGATTATGGGGTTTTAGGGCTTCAAGTTCCAAGCTTAGGGCTTCAATATGATTCATCGCTCAATGTGTTGTGGCTCATGCAATTGCATATAGTTTTTCAATTGATAGAGAATCATCGTCTGTTAAATATTGACTTGATTCAGTTGCCTGATTCACGTGTTTTTGAGACTATCAATGCAGTTTACACCTGACAGCAGTGTATTGCAACCGGGACTGGAAAGAATTGTTCCCGTAATTAACTTAATCCAAAGATTTCAGAACTCGATGTCAAAATTGCAGTGGTTGATTATTCTTCCTGTTTAAGGACAGCAGTGAAGATTCATTGGGAATTTGTCCTGTGTGCTCGTTTTCCTTCTGTACTAAATGTGACGATATTTGGCACCCCGGAGAGCTGTGCAAGGAGCTTAGAACGGAAGAAAATAGGAGAATGCTCAAACTACAGCGTCAACAAGCAGAGGGTTCGTTCATGCAGTTAAATAAAAATGACTTACAGACAAAACCATGAACATAAATGAAAACATAATGAGAGCAAAACCATCTTTACCTTTGTTATAAGCAACGGTATTGCAATCGGGTACTAGACTTTTTTCCCGTAAATAACTTTGTTCACAGGACTCATCGACTCCTGGTGGTACCTTGGCTCGTAACAAATTCAAATTATGTACTGTCTTCTGCCCACTTAGCCTGGAGGTAACGAATACGCCTGGCTAGGAAGAGGTCATGGGGTTGAAATCTGAACAGAACCTGTTTTTTTTTTTCAAACGGTCAAAATTCCTGTTCAGAAAAATTTCGGCCTATTATTTGTCTGCTTACGTTTTATCGGCTTAGTTGCCAACTTTACGTTTTATCGGCTTTTGTTTTATTAAGAAACTTTTTTGGAAGTTTTTCTTCGTGAAGGGCTTCTGAGGTTTTTTTGTTTTGTTACCGCTTGATAAGTTTTGTTTCGATGCAATTTTGCATTCTATTGTCTTGGCATGTTCCATTTTTTATTTTTGGCATGATCCATTCATTTATAGTTATTTAAAAAACCAATATATTCAAAAGTACATTCATGCATATTAATGCAATTATGATTGCTTTTAGGTATATGCGCTTTTTTTAAATTGTGTTCAATTTCATTAATAAAATTTAAATTTTTCGACTCCTAGTACGAAAGCGTAAATGATGAGAAAAACGTGAACTCTGCTTGTCAATCGTAATTGTTTTCGGTTTCTTTATTCTGTACACTTGCGAAAGCAAGTGTCTTGTAATCGGGAACTATATTTTTGTTATATCAAAACCATCTTTTCAAAAAAATTCGTTCCCACTTGGCTCAGAGGTAACACCGTCGTCTTTGCAATTTAAGGCCTGGGGTTGGAGTACCGGATGGATCTTGTGTTTTTCCACATGGATAAAATTGGCATTTTTTCACGTAAAAATTGAATAGCCGGACTTTCGTTTTTCTGCTCAAGTTTTGTCGGCTCAGTTTCACGGATTTAGCTTGTGCTTGAAACAACGTTTTTGTTGTTGCAAGTGCAAGTATTGTTCAAGGTAGTTTCAAGGGGACTGAAAAGTTCTTTTTTTTTCGGCTCAACTTGTGCCTGCTCAAAGTTTGTCGGCTTTGTTTCCTCTTCGTAAGTTTTATTCTGTTATTAATTTAATATTGAAATGTCAGAAATCTTTGCCTAAAATGAACTTCTACCGATTTTTACGAAAATTTAATTTTTTTAGACCTAACTTTTAACATTTTTCATTTTTGTTTGACGTGTTTTTTATGTTTGTGTTTTATGTTTTAATGTTATCGCTTGCGATTAGCAAGCGTTATCAAATCGGAATGTAGACATTTTTTCGGTTTTAGAACAAACCACTTGTGATGCGGTCATGCTCAATTTCATGAAATTTTTTTTATCACAATTGGGTGGGTACTAGTTACTACAGGGAAGTTTCAGGGGGACTTCAAAAGTTTTTTTACCAAATCGGTTTTTTTTCGGCTCAACTGCTGTCTGCTCAAAGGTTGTCGGCCTTGTTTCCGCTTAGTAAGCCTTGTTCAGTTATTAATTTGAATTTCAAATGTCTTGGTTATCATGTTTTCCTAGAATTAGTGTTTGATAAAAACAAGTATTATGAATTTCTGTCGTGTTGGGTTTTTATTTAATTTAGTTTCTATTTGAGACGCTGTGTCAAATTGCGCTACCGGTTTCCATTAAAAGGTAATAATGGGAAGACCGCCTGCCCCCTGAGTGCCTGCCTAATCCCTAGTATATTTTGCGACGCTTTGGAAAATTTTATCGTTTTACTAATTTTTCAAAAAAGTGGTATCCACAGAAAGAATGCCTACATTCTTTTGTGCATGCAAACTCCCCTGGTCTTTTTTGCTTTTCCCCTTGTCTGTAGCCTTCGAAAAAGTCTCTTGGGTGAATATTTGACAAATATTTTTGATTTTTTTTTTCGTTTTCTTAAAAAAACTAACCTACCAAATCTGAGAGTTTAGTGTTGAGTTTGAAAAACTCCTCCTCATAATGCAGCTTCGCCCAATTTTTTTAAATTCATTAAACTATGGCCCTCGGGGTAGTCTAATTTTTGATTTTTTTTCAACCATTTGAATTTTTTTCAACTTTTTTTCAAAAATCAACCTCTCAGACTTGAGTTTCTTTTTTCAATGGGGATAATGGATAGTGGGAAGGAACATTGCAATAACGGACACTCGCATTTTTTTTAGCGGCCACTCGCGTTTTTTTAAATTTATGCGAAAAATTTGTGGCCCTCGGAAAACTCAGAATTTTGATTTTTTGACTTTTCTCGAGAACTACCCTGCCAAACTTGAGTTTTTGGGTTCAATCAAAATTGCAGGTTGAGTGAATTTTTTCTGCATCAGCGGCGATGCTTAATTTTTTCCAAACAAAAAACTATGATTCTCCGAAATGTCAACATTCTGATTTGTTGACCGTTTCTTGGACTCTTCTCAAAACTATCCTGACAAATCTAATATCATAGGTTTAATCGACACCACAGTTTGTTGGAAGCTTGCTTTTATAGTTTGCTACGCCCAAGAAAAAAGTTATGGCCTTCAAACAAGTTTTTTGGAAGTTTTTTTTACTCTCCTCGAAAATTACCGTGCCAAATCTCAGGTTAAGAGTTCAATTGAGAAAACGGATTTTTTGGATCTTCTCTACTTTACCGGCCACGATCTGCTTTCATTGAAAAAAATTGCGGTTTTCGGAAAATCAGTTTTTTGAAAAGTCCAGTTTTTAAAATTATGAGTTTGGTACCCCATCAGTATAACAAATTCAACACATATTCAACACGTACCTCCAGCTTTAGGTGGCCCCTAAGTGTCTTTCATCTATACATACGAAAATTTTGGTTCACCTAATTTTTACAGCTTTTTTACTTATGCTTTTTATGATTGTGTTGTGTCGAAGTGGTGCGAAGCTCGGCTTCGCCTCTGTGTTTGTTTTTATTCACAAGTCAGTATTTTTTTCGGTTTCCTTGCCTACATGACTCTCCAACAGTATGTTGGCTGGAAGCCTCTGTTAGCAATATGTCGGCTGGAGGTTTGCTGGAAGTCTGTGTTAGCAATAACTTTTCTGCACCCGACATATTTTGTGCATGTTAGCTTTTCAAATATCTACGATTCGAAGTTTGATTTTAATGTTGTTGTGTTTTCACCAAGTCGATTTGTCAAAATATCATTTTTCTTTTTTTTTTGGCCTAAACGGTTTCGGCCGAAATCATACGGATTTAGAGGCCTCGTGTTGCGTCGTTCGACGAGCGAAAAAAACTTGTGTTCATGTGTGTGTTTGTTTTGATGGGGAGGGGGACTTAATAATTATTGTATTAGAGTCATATTTGAATAGTTTTTCGGTTTTTGTGGATTTCGGCCTATTTAATGTCTGTTTAGTGGCCCCATGTTGATGCGAAAAAGTTTTAGTGTGTGTGTATGTTTGTGTGTTTTGAGGGTGAGGAGAACTTAAAAATTTTTTTAAGTCTTTTATATTTTTTCGGCTTAAACGGTTTCTGCTACGGTATTTTCGGCTTTTTTATCGCTTGGTAAATTCTTTGATGCCAATTTTACTTTGTATTGTCTTGGCTTGTTTTGTTTCAAAACTAGCTTTATTAATTTTGGATAGACTTATTTTTTCAACGTTTTTGATTCTATTTTCGGCCTAGAGGCTTTTTTGTGTCGCAAGTGGTGCAAAGCTCTGCTATGCCTCTTTGTATTCTTTTCCAATCTTCTGTTGGCTATGGTTTCCTTGTGTTGTAAGTGATTGAAACTCTGTTGCAATTTCATCAGCTTGTTCCGACCACAAGCATTTTTTGTTCCGACCACTGAATGTTGGAAGGAATTTGTCTTCGTATGTGTTTTTCATATGTATGCACCCAAAATCAGGTACCACAATTAATCATCAGACTATATGGGTCGTGATTTGAACGACATAAATTTTTTTTCAGTGTTGGGAAAATTGGTTCAAAAATTTTGCTTTTTAGTCTTATTTCGAGCTAGTTTAGTCAAGAAAAACAAATTTTCGAAGCTTCTTATAGAGCTTCCTTGGTACAAAAAAATTTTTAGTATATTTTTTAATTTAGACAATTCTTTCGATGTTTTTTTTTTCATTTTTTCTTTTGCCATTTTTGACAACAAATTTAGTCGGTAATATTTTACTTACTAACATTGAGTTTTTGGTTTTTCTTGTCATACAACACAAAAAAACGGCCTAAATTTTGAGACCGGCTCTTCTTGTTTGATTTGATTATTGCCCGATTGTGTATGCAAAGCTGTTTCAATCTGTAATGATTACATAGTTAATAGTTCATGTTTTCGAAGCGAGTGTTGTTTGTCTTCTTGCTTAAGGGCCAAAGCAGCAGGATTTGCGGGCAGCCAGGCAGGAACTGCACAGACGATTTCAATGTCCTGGCTGCAGGATAAAAATTGAAAAATCTGCAGGCTGCAATAAAATGACCTGCAGATGTGGAACAATTTTCTGCTGGCTATGTGGTGTCAAAATATCTGGCTACGATCATTTTGGAAAAGGATGCCAAACATTTAGTTTCACTCAATCTGCGAGTGTTCCACGAAAGGAAGTTCAATTTCACGAAGGCTACATCGCTTACAGAGCTGCACTTATGAACAATCAGCTAGTGAGACAGAAACAATGTCCACGGTGTAGAAATAAGAATCCAAAAATGGGTAGACTCAACTTGGTCAAGTGTTGGTTCTGCAAGGGTCATTTCTGCTTCCAGTGTGGGGATAATCTGTCAAAACTGGACAAAGCCACTAGTCATTATTCACTGAGCAAAACTTGTAGCCAACACTCAGATTGAATGGAAATATATTTCAAATCATTCTCGATTGGTTATTCGAAACTCATTTATGTAAATTGCACATACAGATTGATTATTTGCTAATAACTCTATCAAAGTTCTATCACTTTAAATCATATCTTTCGAAAATAATCGTATCTTTTTGCGGCAGAGAAAGATAAGAAAATATATTCTTCATGCATATTATTCGTCCATTTTTCTATTAAGAGTCGATGAACGGTGTTCAGACTCTTATATAGGTCGCGTTGATTTTGTTTTTAGTTTTTTTTTTCAGGAAAAGTCTTAAATTTGTTCAGATTCAAATTTAACTTTTAGCGGCGTCACTTATGATTCTCTTTAAGTTGAATTCATTTCCTTTGTTAAAAGGAAGGTTAACTCGAACAGCAAAAGTGTAATGGTCACAAAAAACGTTATCGACTTCTAGTTTCGAAATTGGAATTTAATTTCGAGATTTCCCAGCGAAATAAATAAAAGTACCTATTGATCCAATTTTCTCAAATGGGTTAATTTAATCATAAAAGTATCGATCTCTACTTGTTCTGGAAAGTCAAAGAGCTTCAAGGGCGTCTATTTTTTGTAACTTCGAAAGTTGAGGTTTTTTCAAAAAATAGCCAGTATTTTTCTGTTTACTTGCGTTCATTGACTCTTTTCCAGTTGATTATGTTTATCTAAAGCCCTTACTCTTCTGGAAAACATCCATTTAATGAAGAAGCTGTGGTAGATCTATTCGTTGAAATGCAGCAAAGACCTGGATAATCTAAAGTTTGATATCCTACGCAATTTGATCGTAATTGGCCTCTGAAGCGATGAAAAGCTTCAAAATATTTAATCGTCCAGAATGTTCTTAGTTCCTTTTAAGATAAAAACAATTAGTCTATTTAAAAATTTTGTCCTTCGGAAGTTGGTAGTGTTTTGAAAAATTCAAAATTGCGATACGATATAGAAGCGGAGCGTAGTGTGATAATACGATGCAACTTTTCAAACCTTAGTCAAAAATGGAAGTTCTACTTTAGGCGGCTTTTTTGAAAGTGTTGTTTTTGTGCTACTTAAAGTGCTATTTTTGGCGTCACTTATGAATAATGAGGCTGCGTTGGCACTATAATACTAAGTGTTTTGACATTTAATTTGTAATGAGTAAACACATTTTAAGAGTAATACAGGTCTTGATAATTTTTTTCTACTTTTTTTGAGGAAAAAGTCGTAAAATGCTCTATTAAATACAGATGTGCATTCATACATATTAATGAATTTATGAATGCACTTAGGTAAATATGCACTTTTTGAATTCAATTGAAATTCATCTGAAAGCTACGTAAATAGCCCTCTCCAAATACCAACGTTGAAATGGTGCAAAAAACGTGAACGACTTCTAGGTTCAAAGGTGGAAATTACTTTATAAATTTCCCAGCGTAATAAAACTTAACCTATTGATCCAGTTTTCTTTAATTAAGTTATAAATCAAAAAAACACCAAACATAAAATCTTCTTGAAATTCAAAGATCTTTTAGGGTCGTACATTTTTTCTTGGCTGTTTTGATTCATCAGTTGAAGTATAAAACGCTATTTTTTCAATCAACAGTACAAACATAAAACTCCATTTTAAGAAAGTTTCAATTATATCTATCTATCTATCTATGTATGCATTAAAAGATACGCGTTTCATTTGGCTAATGTTAAGAATTCTCTTAGTTGACATGCTTAATAGTTTTCCAAAATATTGCAACTTTCGATATAATGTTTCATTGAGTTGAACGTTTTATATTTCCAAGGTCGTCGACGATTCTAACCATATATCTGCTGAAGCATGAATGGTTTGAAAGTACAGATTTTTTTCTTTTTTTCGCAATGTAAATAATTCCAAGCTTCTCGTTCAAGTGCTCATATGAATAAATTGAGTTTCTAAAACGTAAGGTGAGATCGTGTCAGTGTACACTCCTGGTTTTTTTGCTCAAATTCTTTCGCTCTCCGAGATGACCTTATAAACAACGCTATATTGAAAACTTTCACAAGAACTAAATTTCTCAACCCCATTGATTAAGGTGCTTGTCAGCGTACACTCATATCGAAATCTGGCCTCCAATTATAGCAGCTCAAATAATTTTGGTTTCCGAGAAAAAGCGTTAATCATGGTTTTAGTAATTTTTTTTCGAAAAAACTTGGTTTTAAATACAAACTTAACTTGAAAAACTCAACCCTATGATGGGGCGCTGTTAGGGTAACTCAGGAGTTATAAATCTGGCCTCACAACCGAGCAGCTCAAATTCTGCCCTTCAAATTTAACTGCTCAAATCATTTTGGTTTTCGAGAATAAAAATTAATGAGTTTTGAAATTTTCTCCAAAAAATTTAGATTTTAATGATTACTTACAGAATTTGAAAATCTCAACTCTATAATAGGGAGCTCACAAAATCCACTATAAGGTTGGGATTCCGCTCTTTAAATTTATTTTATCAAATCATTTTAGTTTTTGAGCAATGGCGTTGTTTATGATTTTTACATATTTTGTTCCAAAAATTTAGACTTTTTTATTACTAACAGAACTTGAAAAATTCAAGCTCATAGCTCATGGAGCTCTCAAGGTACTCTATAGGGTTGCATTTCTGTCTTCCAAATTCACTTACTCAAATCCTTTTAGTTTTGAAAAATGGTGGTGTTTATGACTTGTGTAAATTTTGTTTTCAAAAAACTTGGATTTGAATACTAACAGAACACGAAAATCTGAACCCTGTGGTGGGGTGCTATCAAGTTGCACTCAGGAGTTGTACTTGTGCTTCCAGATCTAACTGCTCAAATCAATTGGGTTTTCGAGATATTTTTTTTTGTGTTTATTTACATTGCTGTCCTTCATTTTGCCCTCCGAACTCAACTGCTCAAATCGTTTCAGTTTTTGAGAGTTGGCGTTTTTTATTACTTTTAATTTTTTTAAACCTAGATATTATTACTAACAAAAGTGGAAAGTCTCAACTCTGTGATGGGGTGCTATCACGGTACACCCAGGAGTTGAAATCTGCCTTCCAGATGTAACTGCTCAATTCCTTTTGGTTTTTGAGTAATGGCGTTTTTTTTTGGTTGGATGTTATGAGAAAAATAACTGCTCAAATTATTTTGGTTTTCGATTAATGTTTTTTTTAAACAAACTCCGAAACGTTAGATTTTGTAATAACTAACAACTTGAAAATCTAATTGCGAAGCTCTAGGGTGCCAATTCTTCCCTCCAAATTTATTTGCTCGAATCATTTTAATTTTTTAGAACACATTTAAGAACTCCCTGTGTTAACATGCTTAAAAGATTTACAAAATATTGCATCGTTTGATATGTTTCATTGAATTCAACGTGTTAATTTTCCAAGGTCGTCTACGTTTCTAACCATATCTAACTATGTATACTATATTTAATGCGTGTGACGCGTATCTTGCCATGTTTTCGCGTTTTTTGCAAAAAGTAACTGCATAACGTATCAATGCGTGGTTAAGCTATATCGTATATTGCAATCCTTAAGAATTTTTGTTTTCGATTTTCCAGTCTGAATATAGTGTTTGTTCCACCGAGTTAAAAGTTAGCAACACGATAATGGGATGCTGTCAGAGTTGCCCCAGGGTTGCAAGTTTGGTCTTCAATTATGAATGCCCATATCTTTTTAGTGTACGAGAAACGACGATTTTTGTGATTTTTCAAAACTTTTGAAAACCTCAATTTGAAAAAAAAGGAAAAATTCTCAACCTTTTAGTTGAAGGTTGTAAAAATACTCTCAAGGAATAATCTTGCCGCCTACTAAGAGTGCTCAAATCTGTGTATTTTGCAAGATATGAAGTTTTTGTGATTTAAAAAAAACACAAAATTTCATTTTTTTTTCAAAAATCGAAATTCCTAACTCTGTAAATGGGTGCTGTCAGTGTAGTCTCAGGGGTTACGAATCTTGCCTCCAAAAATTGACTGCTCAAATCCTTGTAGTTTTCGAGATATGACAAGTTGTGTGATTTGAAAAAATTCAGAAAAAAAAATTATTATTACTTTTAAACACTTGAAATTTTTAAGTCTAGCTGGGTGCTGCCAGTGTATTCTCAAGGACTGCTAATCTTGCCTCCAAATATGACTGCTCAAATCCATGTAGTTTTTGGGATATGACGTCTTGTGTGATTTTAAAAAAAATCAGAAAACTATTTATTATAATCAGAAAATTATTATTACTTTTAAACACGAAAATCCTAAGTCTAGCTGGGTGCTGCCAGTGTATCCTCTTCGTTTGCACACAATTTCCGGGGACGAATTCATATCACTAGAGTCACTTTCTTCAACTGTTCTACTTTCAGTAGCTTCACACATCATAAAAGGGTTCTTTGGGTATGCGCGCTGTCCTCGAAATTCATTTGAGGTACATGCTCTCAATTCTTCGGGACTGTACTGAGGCTGGTTGAAGCCTGGATCCGGTATTACAAAATCGAGCATGCTTTTCTCAATCGACGAAACAGAAGATTTGTGCTTATTTCGCTTTTAGTTTCCTTTAAACTGTTATCTATAATCTCAAAGAAGAAACTATCTTCGGAACTCTTGCAATGACCGAAAGGAAGAGTTGAAACTGCATCGAAGAGAAGGAAACGCTTCCAATCGAAAAGTGAGAGTGCAATTTTGTTAGTTATAACAGTCTTTATCTCATGTTTTTTCAATTTTTTCGTATAATTATTCACACTCAGCGTCTTTTTATTGAACAGGCATTCTTTGAATCGGGCATGAAGTAGTTTTCTCTGCGCGAACTTTGTAATTCCTTTTGCCGAAACTTTTTGATTCAGATCTAAAAAAGACAACAATTATTAATAGTGGGTACTTAAAGTATTCGGGTGTTTTTTGTTCTTGCGCGAGCTTCATGAAACAAATCTTGTAAAGCGGGAACTAGACAAGAAAATATTCTATGTAAAAAACAATCATCTCACCCTTGTCCAGTATGGAGTAGAGTTTTGGCTTCAGGGCTACAAATTCCTCCACAATGTTTCCTCCCATCTCGTCTTTCATTTTCAAAACGACTGTTTTGTTTTCCCCACTATACAGAGGGTAATCTGAGGGATAGTTGGAAAAATTGAAGACTGGTTGAACAAATTTGAAGTCTTCAAATTAGTCTTCGGTTTTCACGGCATATATGAAGAAGTCGGTATCACTGTATAGTAATTCTAATTCGAGGTTTGGTTTC